GTAATGGCATGGAAGAATTAGCCCCATAAAATGGAAGGAATGGCAAGACATTCTCTTGTCCTAACACTTTTCCACAAAAATGTATTTCAATAGTGGTTTACAAACTTGTAAAATGCGTTCACACCTTCAAATTTTCTGTTGAAAAGGTTGACTATGTCTGAGCTAGTGATTTAAAAATTGCGATTTATTAACCATTAAATGTTCTGTTGTAACAGATGGACTTTATAAATAATGTTCCTACCGTTACTGTGTTCGTTGTATCTCAGTCGGCCTGTAAAGTTCTAGGATTGAACAAAACGCATCGTCGGCAATGGATATGATGACTAGATAAAAATGTTGCTTTAAAAATGTAGTACGTTTAAAATATTGTCTTAAGACAAGTATAATTAATTTTAGTTGAAACAGAAGGTGGTATATCATCTTCTTCTTCTGTAGCTTTTCCCGTATCTATACGGGGTCGCTATTTTTGACAGCACGTTTCCACTCTCCTCGGTCTTCGTATTCGTCCCCAGCATAGCCTTTCTCTCTAATATCTCCATCCACGCAATCCTTCCATCTTCTCCTTGGTCTTCCTCTCTTCCTTCTCCCCTCCACCTCCATATCCAAAACCCTCTTGCCTATATAATCATCTTCCCTCCTCATCACGTGCCCATACCACTGCAATATTCTCTCCTGAACTTTCTTCGATATTTCCACCACTTTAGTTGTTCCTCGAATTCTCTCGTTTCTAATCCTATCAAGCCTCGTCACTCCACACATCCATCTCAACATTTTCATCTCGGCTACCTCTAATTTCTTCTCTTGAGCCTTTTTGTACATCATCCGCTCCGTACATCATCGCAGGTCTCACAACGGTTTTATAGACCTTTCCTTTCACCCTTGCGCTGATCTTATTGTCGCATAGCACTCCCGACACACCCAAACTACCTACAGGAAAACTGTCTAAACCCTTAACAAACTTGAACACCTGAATCAAATTATCTTAGGAGTATCATTTCTGTATTAAGAAAAATAAATTGAATGTGCTACTCCGAGTTCTCACCAGTTTTTAAGAAAGTAAGTAGAAGAAAGATCACTTTGTTTTTTCTTACCAAAGCTAGACATGTGGCTTTATCAACAACCATACTTTAGTATTTCTCTTTTTCCACAACACCAACTTCTCCTCTCACACGAGCACTTTCTAAGTGCCTATATACCTAATTTTATACTTTTTAATTTAAAAATCCATTTTCCAAATTCTGGCCCAATTACTGAATAAGAGAAATATTCCTCACAGAATAAGCTATTAACGTAACACAAAATTTAAAGACAACGAGAGACCTATTGGTCCACTTAAGCTGTCCCATTCACTAAACTATTAAAAAAAAAACTCAAAGCCAGCCCCTATCATTCAAATACTTATCAACCCTTTCCTTAAATTAACTGCATCCATTACATCTGAAGGCAACCCATTCAAAAGATCAATAAATCAAAAAGAAAAATAAAACTGTCATAGCTGAAGACTCCTATCCTGCCAAAATTTATACTTATGTCATCACCATTTTAACTTTCATATATTTGCAATTGGTACCAGTTATTATAAATAATGCTTTTAGACTAATGAAATACAAAATACCATTACATAAAGTTTTGGGGGCAAATATAATCTGAATGAAATAAATTCTAACAATCAAAACTAGTACAATTATAACCTAAATTTAAGGTACTCTTTTGGAACACGCAACTTATTAAATTATTATTATTTGCTGAACAAAAATATAGATAGATACAAATTATTTAGCAAGAAATTATGTTTTAATGAATCATTAAAATGGTGATGATGATAGTAACTGTGTAGACTGCACACTATAGTGTAAATATCTTTGTATATCACATGCTATAATAGCACCAAAAAAGGTGTTCTAAACAGAATAATTCCCATTCAATGCTATTTGATTTTTTTTGTCACTAAGTCAAGTTCTTCACTTGTCCACTAAAACCATACTAACCAGTGTATAAATCTGTCATCTGTGAGGCACCTTACCTTCACTTGTCCACTAAAACCATACTAACCAGTGTATAAATCTGTCATCTGTGAGGCACCTTACCTTCACTTGTCCACTAAAACCATACTAACCAGTGTATAAATCTGTCATCCCTGAGGCACCTTACAAAAGTCAAGGTATACAGAATCAAACAAGATACTGTCATTCTTCATTATAATAACATTCATCCACAAAAAAAAAAAAAAAAAAAAGTTTTACAGTTGGAAGGATTGCATTTTTCTTATTTAGATTAGCTACCCATTCTTTCATTTCAATTTATCTTGTAGCCCCCGGAAGTAAACTTTCCTGAAAACATGGACATGACTCTTTCAATAACTCTACAACAGCTTTCAGTAAAAAAACATCTTAAGTAATAATGACCTGGTTCCTAGTACTCAAAAATACTTTTGCATGCATACATTGTTCAGTACTAAAAACAAGATGTAAAATAGTATTTTCTCTGGTAGGATCACTCGCATCTTAAGTGAGCAAACAATACTGTAGCACTCATATACATTAACTTGGACAATCCTCATCTGCTGGCAACATAGTCAGTCTACCTGTATATACCCTTATGTATAAAATACCAAATAAGATATTTTCTTTCTTTTTGTTTCAAGAACCCCAACTCAAAGTTTCTCAACAATTTTTTCATCCTTATCAATTATGTTTCTCTTACAAGCCCATTTCTTCTAAACGTAATATATATAACCACTCGCATGGTTCCTAAGAAAGATACCGAACATCTCTAAAATACATCTACAAATCTTACATTAAGAAAATAATATCAAATAATATCAGATTCTAACTTGTAAAACTCAATAAAGACTTCTAGTATTAGTTTAAAACACTTAGCCCAGTCTTGTAATGATTTCTATTATTGTTGGGGGTAGGACTTTTGGATTATTCAATAAATAAATCCATCATTTCATGTGGAGCATCTTTATCAAGTTTGGCTAAGGACTTGTCCTTTATCTTTACTCTCCTCCTTAACTTTGTTTTAGAACGTTCCTTCTGATGTATCATTTGATAAGGTGGTCATTAATGCCTAGACACTCTGTTGAAAAACTGCTTAATGTTTTTAAGCCTAGTTTTTTTAAATGAGCAGCAAGATTAACAGCTTGTTATTCACTACTCTATTCAGTGCTTGCACCAACACTTGAATTTTTTTGTCCCAGGACTCAACCACTTGGGAAAATATAGTGTCTGACCCTTTATATTTTTACATAATGCATAAAAACATCACAATTTATTATTTCTTTGTTTACTACTTACTAACTGTAGTATATGAATATTTTATATGTTGAAACTGGTTTGCCTATGATGTTTTCCTTGTTTTATCCTTCACGAGGACCCCATCATCATGTTGCACACACTTCTGAAAACAGATATCTAAGCATCCAAGTCAAATAGCTATGTAGTGAATTCCACAAAACAGTATAGAATATTTCAATTGAAAGCAAAATAAATACAAACAAAAGATCTCAATTTTATAGAACATTATAAAATAGTGGTAAAAAGGGCTAACGAGTAACAGGAAAGTAATTTTTAGTTTGCATCCTTGTGATGCATTATAAGGTAAATATTTTCCTTTCTCAATGTTAAAATTTGTACATTTATGTATAAAAAGTGAGTTAACATGAAGTCTGTCCATCTATTCACCTTAGAAATTATTTCAAGCTGTGCCTGATATAGTATGTTTTCATTATAATTCATTACTTTCTTAACTGGGCAATGTTGATGAGCTGTTCTGTAAAATTCTGTAACTACATGATGCAGTGGTGTAGCTAAAACAGGCCAGGAAGATCCTGCTGCCATAAGTGACAAAACAGCTACAGTAACAGACATAGTTTGTTTTGACTTATGTTCAATTTCATGCAAAGTTACATGAGGGCTATATGCACTAGCCATCTATAATTTAGCTGTGATTGACTGGAGGGAAGGTAGCTAGTCAACACCACCCACCACCAACACTTGGGCTACTATTTTTACTGACAAATAGTGGGATTGACCATACATTATAACACCCCTACAGCTGAAAGGATGAGCATGTTTAGTGACGGGGAGCAGGTGTAGACCAGATGGTTTCTCATATTACACAATTGATGGTGTTTGAGGATGAAATTCATAATGGATTGCAGAGGAATATGAAGCTGGTTTGATGCATGCATTTCCCATTCCAGTTTCCATATGCTTTATTATTTTGTGTGTCATTGATCTTGTTTTTATAATCATTCTGTTCTTTACTCCTATCCTTTTGTGCTTCTTCAGTTTTGTTATTATAATTCTTCTGTACATATTCTATAGCTTTTTTAATTGTAATCTGTATATTTTCTATCTATTCTTTGATCTTGTCTTTGACCAAATTTTTATTTGTTAACAATTCTTTTGTAAATCTTACGTCTTGTTCTTGTAATTCTTCTGTCCATCTCTTCTTGACCTTTTAATCTTCTGTCTCTTTATTCAAGCATATATATTATCCTAAAGTTCATTATGGATACTGTTTTTTTCTAACAAAATAATCCCACTTCTGACACTAATGTTATAACAATTTCTAGTGTTTGGTGGGTTATTTTAGATTATTTGGTAAAAAATAAAGCAAGTCTAATCCACTTAAAGATCAAATCATTTATATTTCTTCAACTACAAGTTATACACTTACACAATTTCACAAACTGATTAGACTTAACAAATAATCCTAAACAGTAACTTGCTAATTTTCTCCTATCTCTGTTTCTTAGTCAAAATACAAACTCAATATCCGTAAAACTGAAATACCATACAAACTGGCTAACAAAATCAGCAATTCAATAATCAATCAAACCTATAACAAACTTACTAATCAATCCACTCCAACTTATCTTGCATTTATATATTGCTCAAATAGTTTCTTAAGCTTGAAAGAAAATTCCACACACTGAGCTATGCACTTGTCATATAGATGTCAAAATCCCTCTAGTTAACGTTAATACAAACATCTAAATAAAAAAAATATAACCTACAACATAAATTTCGACTTTTCTATCAATACAACTCTTCACACCTCCTATACTAATTTTATTTGCTGTTATCCTTTGCAAAAGAGAGTATCTGCTTTCATTCCTTCTAATATTTAACATAATTATTTTGTCTTCCAAAATCCACGTAATGATCCTCTCTCGCATCTATCTAAACATAGTTTACACTCTCCTTTAAAAACAAAAATATGGCATATCACATGCAACATCTTTCCTTTACCCTTATATTTGACCCACAATCTAACCAGCTCATCTGTTAGTCCAAAAATACTCTATATCTTCTCTCATTTAAATCCTTTCACTGTTTAAAATTTCCTGTCAGCTCCTAATGTTTGGACAAATTGAAAAAGAAACTCAGTGACTTTTATCCTTAAAATTCTGGAATAACTAGTTAATAATCTCTACCTCCCATAACTAACATCATCACCTGCAAAAAAAAACATCTTTCTTCATTGCTGCTGCTAATTTATCTTTCCATAAGATCCTGAAATGTGACATCCATTATGCTAATTCCAGCCCTAGTTTTCTTAAACTCTTTGCCAAATATGTACCTTTCAAGAAACTTAGTGAATTCCTTCCTATATACAAAAAAACCTTGATCCTTTTCTTCACCCTTATCAACTGAACAGAAATCCATCTAAGACTTTTAGGATTTAACTTCAAGTACATATGTTAAACAATACACTTAATGACTTGTACCAAAAGCCAATGACACTGGTGCCAATCTTACATTTAACACTTGGACCTATACCTACCTCAAGATCTGACAAATCACTTGAATTTAGCAATGGATAACTTCACTGACTGTACAATACAATATGTATGGTACATTTAATAAAGACTTTCTTCGGTGATATCCCTACACACACACACACACATACACACCCTAGAAAATGTAAAAATTGATCTTGAATTCCTGCAAAGTGCCAGTCTCCACTATTATTATTGACCAAATATCCATAAACTAATCACCCTTTTATAAAAATTTGGATATACCACTACATATAAATTGCCTATTTGCATAATTCCTTTAAATTTTGTAAAGATTATTTATAATGATATATTGATTCTGCATAACGAGTTAAAATACAGGTTGATCCTGCATGACAAGTAAACTTTCATGAGCTACAATATGAGATGATACTACAAAATTAGTTAAAATGTGCATTGATTTTGCATAACATTCCAACTCAGCATGATAGGTTGATTCTTCATAACAAGTTTACATAGGATCAACTATGTATAACAGGTTGCAGGGACCTAATTCTACATCATAAATTCTCTATAACTCATCAAAAGAAGTGCAGGAACATTGAAGATGAAATGTTCCTTCTTTCCAAGCATATACAGAATATATAGTATGCAAAATTTGGTCCCATTATTCAGATTTAACCAATTATGAAGAATTGCCTGTTACAAAAATATTGTTCTAAATTAACTTTTTATGCAGAATGTCCCTGCATTTTAATTCATTATGCAACAGGTCTATTGTGAAGAACATGCTTATATTTTAACCTATGTAACTGATCTGTTATGTAAAATACATCTGCATTTTAACTTAATATTATGCAAAAACAACCTATTATGCATAAATGACATCTTTTAATATTCACCACATATACAAAATTCAAAGGAGTTATGCAAATTATGATTTTTGCAAAACAGTACATCTCAGAAAAATAAAACTGGTTTAACTGGAACCTAGCTTGTCTTTTACAAATGTTATACTTGTGTCCTCTCATCCTAATAGTCTGTAAATATATGATAATAATGTTAAATTTGTTACAAGTAGTTAAGATATTTGACATGAATAATATATGCGAATTTATATATTC